GTCTATCGTAAAATCGGAATAAAACCAAAGCTGTCGCAGTCAGGGGAATCGAAAGAGAGGAAGATTCTCGAGGATCGTCGAGGAGAACAGACACAGACTCCTTGGAAAAACACGAAAGTTCGAGGCGGGGACTTCGGGCTCCCGTTTCTCTCGTGAATACAAAATGTACCCGATGAAAATCGTCCGTGTGTGTGTGTGTGTGTGTGTGTTCACGACTCGTTCGCGAAAGTTTACACACGGTATACACACACGGAAGACAGTTCGTCTCTCCTGGTCGTCCCTGGTCGTTCTTGGTCGTTTTTGGTCGACCGCCTGCGAAATTTCGAGCGATTCCGACGCTACGAGTAGGTCCAGCAGATATCGTGGAATCGCTGTTTCCACTCGAGCTATCACAATTTTCGGCGAAGATCAAGCAATAAATAACGATCCGCGATGACCAATCTGGCGGACGCGACGAGAACCATGGACAAATGTAAATATTTATCCTTTCGAGTCTATAACTATTCAATTTTTTTACACACTTTCTGTAAAAACAACGTATTCAATAGACTGCGAATATTTATTCAAACATAGATTTTGAATGATAGATTTGAACTGAAGTCAAATCAGTCAAGAGATTTGTTTATGTTATTTACCGTTCTCTATTAGGTTCTAGATACAATGAAAACACCTCTTTAAAATTGACCAAACTCTTCAGCATGGTGAATTCTAAAGAATAGTGTATAGTACAAATGCATAAAATCCGTAGTCTGGTAATCAAACCTAAAAACTTTAATTCAATAATTTAAGTTAAATCTTTTAATTCAATAATTTTCTACTTTATTCGAACTATGTATACTCGGCAACTTACGACCCCTGCACAGTAGGTACACGTCTCGACGTCCTCCGATATCTAAACAAACGAACGCTCGGTTTGTTAGAAATTGCGCTTCAATCTGTGATTACACTGAACCTACGCAGGACCTTTCGCTATCAGGAATTAGGGGACAAAAATCTGGAATCGATCGAATTCAGGCTAGAACTCGAAACATCGATACCGACGTGTCATCGTTAAAGGGAGGAAGAATATACGATATCTTGACGCGCTCTAATAACTCGATTTCGCGGGGTCGGTCGTTGCGACGGAAGTGGAAGAAAAAAAAAGAGGAAGTCGTGTTCCAGCGACATTTTTAACGGGCGTCCCTGACCTCTGGAGCTTCAGGAACAAGGAGAGGGTGGGTGGTTTTAGCAGAGTCAGCGATATTCCCGCGGAAATTCGTCGAGTATCCCCGCAAAAAAAGCTACCAACCAGACGAGGTAGTGTATCGTGGAACGAGAGTACGATACGAGCCGTTCATGTGCCAAAGTGATTAACTCCAGAAAATTTATACATGTATGTAGTTTATTTTAAATATAAAAAGTAAAGCACCGATCTCAAGTGCTTCGGCACTAAAATTCTAAATAAATTTCAAAAAATGAAGTTAGTCACTTGCAGGCCTGTGTACGGCTCATATACATATAGTATTCGGATCGACGATCGAATTAATTGTACCGTCTACGGATGAAACGCGTTTTAATTAACATCGACGACGACGATTATAAAGAAACAACCGACCGTTAACGACGACAATCAGGTATCAGGTCTGATAAAGTACAGATCCGGCGCGCACGATTCCCCCGTCGATAAACTATCTACCGTTCTTCGTGTTTAATTGTACGCGGCAATTAAAAGTCTGCCGTTTAATTAAACGATCATGTTCTTTTGTTTAAGCTTTAAGAAAACGGTTCTGTTTTTTGTTTTGTTTTTATATTTCTCCAAGAAACCAACGGCACTCTTTGCGGCGTTAAGGAACACAGAGACGACCCGTTGCGCTAATCGAGCGTTTTGTACCATGAAAATCGGAGCGACGCGTTACGTTTTCCAGTTGCTCGTTAATTAATTGCTCCGTCGCGTCGTGACCAGAGTGACGGCCGATTAAACTTTCTTCGCGATTACGAGTCAGTGCTCCCGGACGATTCAGAAATTGAATTTTCCACGTGAAGTATACCGGATGTAGTTTTCTGCAGAGTGGATAACAAAAAGTCCTTCTTCGGTTGTCGTAAGCTCTCTGATAACGTGTACGTTCTCTGGTCCATTTGATCCTCGTGTTGCCGACAGAAGTGTTAGCCACCGAAGGGTGACTAATTTTTCTTAGAACAATTGATACCCTTCGATGTATAGAGGTCGTTTCCGTCGGTAGCTCTTGAATGCCTAGACGGCCTAGATCGAAATAGCCCTAGGTGAAAATGGACTCGGATAGAAATGAACCTAGTCATAACCGCCACTGATTCAATCTATCACCGGAAATTCATTTTATACTCGTGTGTTCATTTTTGCTCAGTCGGCATTTTTGCTATACCAGTGTGATGAACCGTACGGATCCAGAATCCACGGAGAATGTAGAACGTTTTTCCTCGTCTGATCACCCTCGATTTCAAGGAGACTCGAATCTCCCAGCTCCGGATGTACCGTTCACGAAACGAATACCCGCGATCCATAGATATAAAAGTCGTCGAGGCGCGAGCAATAAGCAGCGACAAGCCGCCGCAGAAAATGAAAAGTCTAATAAGGCGTGCACGGCTCTGGGCCCGATGGTTCGTCGAAAGAGGAACTGCACAAAAGGTCCCTTCCTTCCCTGCATTCTTCCCCCGTTCTCGGACGTGATCCGGCCGCACGCCCCGTTTCTTTGCGTGTTTTCCCACATCCTATCCCGCGGGGAAATGACGTTGAGGCGAACAAAACACCGGGACAAAAAAACACACGCGCCACAGGGAACAAACAAGCGAATCCGAATCGACGCGAAATTAAAAGGAACGGGGACAGCGTCTTCGGATTCCCCAATTCGTGGCCTGAAGTTAGAAATTCTGGGGAACCGAAAAGAATCGATTGCGTGACCTTATTTTCGGGATCGAAATTAGGCTGACGTGAATACTGCGTCTGAAATATTCGAAGAATTATTTCATAATAAGTAGACTCATAGGCCTAAGCAGGTTATCATTCGGGGGGTGGTAAAATTTATCTCAAAGTACATAATTTCGTAATATTACTTTAAATAGATTATAGGTTTAGTTTTACATATAGTATATTAGTTAATATAATAAAATATTTTTCTCCTCTGGAAGAAACCGTAGATCCGTAGAAGTACCGTCGTCGTCGAACCATAGAGAATCGTTCCGTGGATCGATTGAAATCCCACCTCCTCCATCGTATTCTTCGGAGAATCTTCGATCCGAACGGAATCGAAAAAGACGACTCGATACGTATTTTTTTCCAGACTCTTGGTTCGAGATCGTCTCAGGAATCATCGGTGTACTTTTACAGGCCTTTGTCTTGCGAATCGGTTCGTCGAGGAATCTTGGATAGTTGGAAATTGCACCAATCGTGCCGTTCACAGACCAAAATGATTGAACTCTTTTTGTTCGAATTTTAATAGTAAAGTTGCTTTTATGGAGTTAATCGCTTGAAAATTGGCCAAATGAACGACTGGATTAACCTCTCGCGGGGTGGTGGCTGGGTCCAATCGACCCAAGTTTTTAATAGCTCCATCTAGGACATCAACGTAGAAATCGAATTTAAGAGTCGTTCGTATAAGGTCGTATAGAAAAAGCAGGTCTTCTTGAACGATTGTGTGCGAAAATATGTCCAAAATATGTACGAACATTAAGAAGCGTTCACCTTCCGATTGCTAAACGAATAATTTTTCTGGTGGATGCTGAAGGATTTACGGATTAGGGCTCGCTTGTGGTCGATTAATTAGACGGTGAATTGTTTCTCATTTTTTGTTGTTATTAAAACTTGCCAGGCACGTCAACAACTCGATGAATATTGTAAGAAGGTTCGCCACCACTGCTCTAGAGGATAATCGTTTTCGTCCTGGGGGTAAGGTAAGGGTGCGTTTAAAACTTTGATGTTCCTTTCCTCGTGAAATGAGAATTCCTCGACGCGTAGCTTCCAACGACGGGGACCGATTTGTTGTTTCGTCCACGAGACGGGATCGTTGATCGCTTCTTGTCCCCGAGAGCCTCGCCTTCGTAATGCCGATAGAAAGAAACGAGGCGATAATGCCGCTGGAGATGTTCCTCCCGGGGCGAAATTAAAACGCGCGGACGAAAGATCGCACAAAGGCTGAAGAGGCTGAAGAGGCTAAAATGGTGAAACTTCGTCAAAGACGGGGGGAAATAATTAAAAGAAAGAATTTTTTTCCTTTGAGACTGGGCGAAAGATCGTTCGGTTGCTCTAGTAGGGTTCATCGATGTCCTTGAAGGGGCACCGAATCAATTTCCGGTTCTGTAATAACTTCGAGAGCAGAGAGGTCGACTGACGTCGAACGGCGGAAATACGTGGAAGAAATAAGATGAATATCCCTGAAAATATAAAATTTAATACTTTCGTTCGCAAACGAAATAGTTCGAACCATAATACAGCGTGATTTGGCGGTTGCATCTTTCAAAGACGGCGGTCAAGTACTCACAAGACGTCTCTGTAGCTTATCGCGTGTAGACAAACGGTGGACGATCAATTTCAATTCCAATCATTCGAGAAGCTCTACCTTGTCGTCTTCATCCCCTTGCCTTATATTATAACATCGAGTCAGGCTTACAATTTCAAAATGGGATTCAACAGTCAGAGTAAATGTACAGTTGCGATATGTACAATTCCTTTCGGTTTCTGGGAAATAATCGACAATAAAGTAATTCTCGAGACTGCGAACATCATGAAAATCGTAAGGCAAGGGATTCGAACGTTCGCTACCAGTACATTATTTCGGAAATTTTCGTCACAGATTACGATCAATTTTCAGCATTCTATCGACTGACACAAAATATATGTGAATATTGCAAAACCCATTCCACTTTTGTCTAAGAAAATATGCTGACTTGGAAATCGGTATGTAACGTTGGTAGCGAACATGTTGACACGCTCCCGAAAGTGGAACCATCTTTGTTTCTATGTCCTATGCTTTGTTTCCTTTTATCCACAGCCTCGGATCTGGACTGCATAAGAGCGCTGTTCAACGAGAAGGAGAAGGAACTCTCGTTAGCGGTGGCGAAGGTCGAGGAGCTGACACGGCAGCTGGAGGAGCTCAGGGGTCGGCAGAACGCTGCCGGGACCGGGACCGGAAGCGGAGGCGCCGGTGGCGTCGGCGGCGGTGGTGTCGGCGGACCTGGCAGTGGACACTTGTCGACACCGGCCAGCGCCGAGCTCGAGAAGCTCAGGAGAGAACTAATGGTGAGTCTTTTGACTTTATCCTCCTATCCTTCTGGATCCTTTTGTCCTTGCCGGGAAAACGTTCTGGAATGAGATCCACGAAGAAAAGCCCCTTTTACCCGTTACCGCTGCACTCCTGATCGCGTGCCCATTCCATTTGCAGTAAATTCTATCTCGCGGCTACGCGACTGGACAGTTCGATTTCGTGAATCTAAAAGGTCCGACGGGGTAAAACTTATTTTTTATTATTTAAAATCGAAATGATCAGTTGAGAATCCCTTTGACACAGTACGATGATGGATGGACCCTCTGCATCTTCTCCTTTCGTTGGTAGAACGTACAGATAGTCTGTTCGAATGATCAGTTACGCGTGTAACACGTTTTGACTGATATTACGAAGACTTTCGAACGAAGAGATTCAGTCGGTGTAATCGATTACAATCGGTATCGAAGTCGGTCAGAATTGGACGAAATCAGTCTTGTAAGGGATTTTCCCTGAATAGAATTCACCTGGCAAACTGACAGACAAACTCCATTTGCTTTTGTTCCCCCTCCCCTCTCCCTCCCCCCTCCCCCATTGACAGTACCGTAACAAGATGAACGAGCAGCAGAACCAAGTGGTGTCCCAGCAACGATTGGCCCTGGCGCAACGGCAAGCGGAGATGGCGTCGATCGACGCTAGGATAGCCCAGCTACAGGGTCGTCTTCAGCGTAAAAGAGCGTTGAATCAACGACTCAGCCAGCAGCTAGGCTCCGGGAATCGTGGGAACACGAACAGCGGTTTCACGGAATCGAAGCTCGAGTTCAACGCCGGCGGTAAGTCCAGGCCCGCCGGTAACATAGCGGCGATCGAACCGTACTCCCACATACCAAACGACAACGACTTCAATTTGAACAAGAACGATCCGAAGTACCAAACCTTGCCGTACAACACCAAGTTCACGGTGAACTTCAAGGCCGCGGAGGATGACGTGAACAAGAACAAGATCCAACACTCGGCAAGCGCCTCGCAGCTAGGCCAGAGGGTCGCCTTTCAGCAGTTTGGCCATCAGATCGCGCACAGTCAGTCCCAATCCCATATCCAAGGTTTGTACAATAGAGTGGAACCACCTCTGGCATTACTCTCAACATATAGATGCTAAGTAGATATGCCCGGTTACCTAAATCGATCGAATCGCACACATATATTTTTAGGTCAATCGCAACTCCTAGGCACGAACCAGCAGCAGTACAATCAAAATATCGCCAGCCAGTCCGTGAATCTCCAGCAGACGTGCAACAACAACAACAACAACAACAACAACAACAACAACAACAACAACAACAACAACAACAACAACAACAACAACAACAACAACAACAACAACAACAACAACAACAACAACAACAACAACAACAACAACAACAACAACAACAACAACAACAACAACAACAACAACAACAACAACAACAACAACAACAACAACAACAACAACAACAACAATACGAACAGCACGAACAACAATCTAATCGGCTCCGGTCACAACTTTAGTCCGGACGGTTTATCGCAGAATCTTCGAGTTCACCATCAACAGCAACCGCAGACGCAGCAGCAGCAGCAACACGGGAACATTCAACAGAAACAGCACACTATCGGTTCCTCAGCGTCCAACCTGGGCACAACAGTATCCATCACGCAGACCCAAAATCATCGGAACCTTCAAACCCATCAGAAGCCTGTGTCCAGCGTGGCGCCGAGTTTCTCCGTCAAGTCCCAGATCTATCAGACATCCTCGACGAAGATCCATCCGGTCATGCCGCAGACCTTGAGTCTGATCGGTCGTGGACACGCGAACGCTCAGAACTTCGTTGGACTGGGCACGCAGAACGCGAACCAGCAGCAGCAATTGAACCAGTCGGTTACAAGTAGTCAGACCCCCAGTCAGGAACAAACATATACCTCGAGGCTCAACTATCCAGGCATTCAGCAGCACTCCACCCAATCGAACACCCACGTCTCCTCTCCCATAGCCTATCAGTCTCAGATCTCCCCGAATTTACCGCCTGCTATGCACACAACGTCCAGCGGGGCCAATTTTGGTAACTCGGTTCCGAGATACAACCAGAACCAGCAACCGATAACCAGTCCCACGTCCAGTACAGAACAAACCGATAAGATGAAGTTCGAGGCCAAGGAGAAGTTCGAGCACGCGTTGCCGGCCAAGCACGAGCAACAGAGGTACGAGCCTAACCCGGTGTTCAAGTACGATCCCCATCAGATGAAATATGATCAGCATCCATCGAAGTACGAACACGGGAAGTACGATCAGTCCAATCAGCCGACGAAGCTCTACGATCAGTCGAACAAACACGAGCAGCCACCTGGCAATCAGACGAACAAGTATGACACGGTCAAGCTCGAGCAGGGGAAGTACGAGGGTGGCGGTCAGACGAAACACGAACAACTCCATGTACCCAAATACGATCCCAATCAGAACACTCAGCAATACGGTAAACACGATCAACACGAGGTGAGACCGTCCGTGAAACACGAGCACAACACAGCGTTCAAGCACGATCCCTCGACTAAGTACGAAGGTGGACAACAGTTCAAGCAGCAGGAGCCGGCCCCGAAGTTCGAGAACGTTCAGAACAAGTACGAGCAGAATTCCACGACGAAACACGAGCACAACGGAAAGTTCGAGATCACAGCGAAAATGGCGGAGAAACCAATCGAATTCGAGAGGCTCAAGGCCGAGAACGAGAGGAAGGGCTCAGGGGAGATACGGGGCGAGGACAAGACCAAGCCGGCGCTACCACCGAAACCGATTAAGCCTAACCCACCGCCGAGATTGACCCATCACGAGAAGGTGGACAATTCTGTGGACGTAATGGGTGATTGCAAGAACAATATGGGAATCGGTCCAAGGTTCGTATTTCCCCCCCCCCCCCACCCCTCGCGTTAACTGCTATCGCTTTGTTTTCTGCGGTTAGACCATTCCAACACTGCAAAGAAATTTAGTTCGGACTAGTTACATAAGATAGGACAATAAACAGTATTCAAACGAAACGAAGATAGTATCGATAGTAGAAAGTAAGTCTTCGTGTGCCCATCTGCTTACATCCATTGACTACCAATCAATTGCAAGATAATCAAGAAGATACGATCGATCTAGGCGCTCATGGAAGAGCACACACAGGTGGCAAGGGTTTCGGGCACAGGATGACAAAACGATTACCGGGTTAATTATAAATGTTAATTAGTCCGTGATCGATTTGGCCGGTGAATCGATGCCTGTCTTCTCGAATAATAGACACCGAAATAGAACGACTGCTGTGCCGTCGAAGACACAATAGCACTTTAGTACTCGAGCGCTCCTTCGATCGATCGGGGGTTTTGCTGACGCGCGCGCCATTCAGTTTGAATTGATCTTCCTCGAGAACTTAAACGGAGAACAGTCGGAACGTTCTAATTACTTAATTACCGATTCGTAATAGAAAATAGAAAATAAAGAACTGAGACGTCTTCTTCGAGAAAACGATCAACGTTGTTCAATATTGTCAGTCTTCTGAACTATTAGAGAAGAAGGGTTTCTGTGTTTAACTATTCTACCGAATTCTCTCCCCAGAACGGAGAAGGAAGAGGACGCCCCACCGATACCCACGTCGGAACCCCCGGAATCACCCACGGAGACCCAGTTCGGCAACCACCAGATCATCAAAGCCAGGCCTCTGACACTGAAGAAGGCGCCGATCTCCGAGCAGCCAAGGCTACGTTACGCCAAGTCAAATGTCCACGTGTCGATAAACCGGCGGATTGAGATGCCACCGGCGTTCCTGTTCCCGGAGACCGAGATTCCAGCGGATCTGATGCAAACCGAGCAGCAACAACAGCAGCAGCAGCAACAACAACAACAACAACAACAGCAGCCTCAGATCATCGACACGACGGACAATTGCAAGGTGAGCATCGGCGAGGACGTGATCAACAATGAGAAGCTAGAGGAGTCTGACATCATCGACGCCCTGAACGTGATCAACATTGAGGATAAAGCGAAGGCGCAGAAAGACTCGGATAGAAGAACTGACCTAGACGTGGACGCGAAGGGTGGAAACGAGGTAATGAGGAGGAAGAAAGGGAACCTGAAGTCCAGCACAGGAAAGGCAAACCTCTCGAGAAGAGTGTCGTTCGATCCCCTCGCTCTATTGTTGGACGCTAGCCTCGAGGGTGAGCTCGAGCTGGTGAAGAAGACCGCCAAGGAGGTCGCGAATCCCAGTTCGGCCAACGACGAGGGCATCACAGCGCTTCACAACGCCATCTGCGCTGGTCACCTGGAGATCGTCAAGTTTCTTGTCGAGTTTGGATGCGATGTGAACGCGCAGGACAGCGACGGATGGTAAGACCGGGTTCGAAATCGTATGTGCGAGTTCATTATGTACATACATGTTGGGTTCGTTGATTAACACTTTATTGACTGGTAGCCTATTAATAGGCTTTTCAATGTCAATGCTTATAGATGAGAAGCCTATTAATTTACCCTTGAATCAGGATTAAGGAAGAAATTGATAGGTTATTCTATTAGAGTCCTTCCTAGTTTTCATGAATGTAATTTGCTACTGCGATTCGACTGTTTAATAATAGTTCTTTGAATGTTGATTGTTGGATTCTACTAAACCTATTAAATAGCAGTCGGTAGATAATGTGTCAAGGTTCTATTCGTTGCGTTTTTATTGAAGAACGCTTAGCACTCGAAAAATCTTCTTATAGACGATTAGACGAAACAACATTATAAAAGACCCGTAAGACTGAAAAAAATAAAATATTTCTATCTACCTATTGCAGGACGCCGCTACATTGCGCCGCAAGCTGCAACAATTTGTCGATGGTGCGATTCTTGGTGGAGCACGGGGCCTGTATCTTCGCCACCACCCTCTCCGATCACGAGACCGCCGCGGAAAAGTGCGAAGAGGACGAGGAGGGCTTCGACGGCTGTTCCGAATACTTGTACAGTCAGTATTTATCGGTGATTCGTCGTGAACACAATTATGAACTTGCGTATATAATTGATTATTAATTGTAATTAACCACGACTGTTTGCTGTTGCTGCAGGTGTCCAAGAGAAGCTGGGCATAATGAACAACGGGCAAGTGTACGCGGTGTTCGATTACGAGGCACAGCACAGCGACGAGCTGACCCTGAAGAACGGCGACTCTCTGGTTGTGCTTCGAAAAGGCGATGACAACGAAAGGGAATGGTGGTGGAGCAAACTGGGACACAAAGAAGGCTACGTGCCCCGAAATTTACTTGGCGTAAGTTGCGTTTCTTGGCGGAAGAGTCAAAAATTTGAAGGATGTATAGACTATATAGAGTAATCTAGAGTAAAATCTAGCGTAAAAAGAACTCTATACTATCAAAATACTTATTTATTTGACCGAAATTTTAATAATACTCACTTTGGATAAGCAATACTGAATGATTCCCCCCCCCCCCTCCTTTATTTCAGTTGTATCCGAGGGTGCAGCCGGGAAAGGTGGACTGAGGCGCGTGAGCTCGAAATAAATCCGATGATTGATCATTACCACAGTATTCGATTCGCAGCTTTATCTCGTTAAGTATCATAGTTGCATCCGTCGTCGCATTACCAATGTCATATCCTATTTAATCGCACCCCATCGTCATCATCCGAAATGAACCGAGCGAAACGAGCTTTCGCCCGTAGGTTTCATTTTATTATCATTTTTTTTTTCTTACATTTTGTAAGACATAACCGGTTAATCGCTAAACAAGCCCATGGTTTATCGTAAGTTATTCACGTTGAAGAATGTTAGGGCGTCGACCAATAAAATTTCTCGCAATGTTCAGCGACGAGGAGACGCGGACCCGCTCAGCGGTTTAACAGAATCGAATGAAAACGTAATAAAATATACACGATGTAACGAACAATTAGGATATAATTGACCAGCTCGAAAGAACAGTAGCTTATTCGTATTTCCGGTTCGTCGAGCGAGAAAACGATATATGTATACTCGGAATTAATCACACACGCGCACAGAAAATATGAACTATATACATATTCTCGGCAAAAACACTCTGAAATCGTTTGCATCCGCGCACACTCGACGATACGAAGGAGGACAAAATAATTCCGTTAATTGCGTATACAGAAAGAATTGTTCGTCTTCGTACCCTGCACGTTAGTCAGTTCCTTCAACGAAACAGTACAAAAGAAAGAAGAAAATTTCAATTTTACCCCTCACCCCCCCCCCCCCTCCCCCTCTGAACTCTCCATATAATAGTCGACTCTTGTGTCAACGATTTGCGTAGTAGCTCACACAGTCGAAAACCGTTTGACATTTAATATCTATCACTTAAGCGTCGCGTCCCGGTAAAGATCGCTCGAAAAGTTCCTCTTTACAATCCTCGCAAGGGTTTGACTCGTAGAACTCTACCAGAATATTCGATGACTACGATTCCTACCGTCAAAGCAATTTTAGAGGAAAGTAATCGTTGCGAACAGAAACGTGTTTCGTTTGAATTTCGATTCTATAAATATTTCAACGACCGTACGTCAGTATTTGCCTCACTTCACAGAGGAACTTTTTGAACGATGGCACACCACCCTCATAAGAGAATAAAACTTTTATTTGCGCATGTTGCGCGATATTAAGCGTACTTACTTAATGTTTTGATTTGTTTCACCTAAATGATTTTATTTAGATGAAGTCAGATTATTGTTGCGGATTATTGTTACGTTTATTCGTCACCAGCGAAATTTTCCAAATCCGACATAGGCAATTTCGGATTTCGAAAATGTTTCGAAAGATGTATAATGTAATCTTGCCAATTACGCACCTTAAACGATCGGTAAGCGAAAGCAAGCAAGCAAGCAAGCACGCGCGCGCGAGCAGGAATTCTAGGATCGCCCTTGGATCTCTGATAAATCGACGGGAAACTTGACTAGACTTGTATAATTGACAATTATCAGCTAGGCCAGATTCGAATGCCCACGCGGTTAGAAAAGTTCTGAGCGTGTCTTGTTGTACTGTTTAAGTATGTACAGATGGAATGAATGAACTGCACTCAGAACATTTCTGACGGTTTACTCGTAAATAAAGTATGTGCCTTTCAGAAGTAATAATGGATATATTATGTATGAATGCATGATATATTATGACGAATAAATTGTTTTTAATAGAAAACCATTACAAAATACCGTTTATTGTCATGAATAATAATACAGACGAGCAGCAATATCAGTAAGTAGGGGGTAAGTAATCGTCTGGTTACTTCTAAACAAAATACTCTGGAGGTATATGTATAATAAAGTAAACGTTAAAATCTCGCATAAATACTATAGAATGAGGAAAAACACGACCATCACGAATTATAAATAAGTAAAGGCACTAACAATACGCGCATCCGAAATAAATTAGAGTTTACTGAGAATACACATTACGCTTTTCAAGCGATATGTCCTATCCGTATAATATTATTCAATAATTCACGTAATCAGTAAAAACAGCGAAACATAAAAATTAAATACTCTTACATCTACGTTAATACCATTCCAAACGAATATCATAATGTACTTGCAAAGCGGTTATAAAAGATATTCAGTAAAAAAATATAATTTAACAGTTGAATCTGTTAAGTACCCCACATTGGTCTTCGTACGACGTGGGTCGTAATTAAAATATGTATATATTAAAAATATATATGTATATAGATCATATGTTTACACTTGTAACACGTATGGCCTCTTGTCTCCTTACTATTAATGATGTAAAAGAATACTCAAGTTTTATTTGTTCTTCCTAAAAGAAAATGCTCAAGTTTCATTGTTTTTCGCCTCGTTTATCAGCTGGAGGCAGATCTTTATATCTTCATAATCGGCAACCATAACATCAAGCCTGAAAAATATTTAATTCAAAACAATCTGGATCGATGCAAAATTCAGTTAATTGTCTTTTTAATAATACCTGTCCGAAAACATATTTAGTATAGTGCCACTGAAATTTCCTTTCTTCAAAGCTTGGGAACAAAAGTGTGTCAAATTTTTAAAACATTTACATGCCAAATCACACAGACTTTGATTTTTACATTCTGATATCTGTTTCGTAATATTCCATGCTGCATACACGTATTGCATTACTGATGTCCAATGCTGAGACTCTACTAGCTTCTTTCCTTGATCTACGATAGCTTTCTGCATCAAATGGGTACATCATTAATAACAAAGTAAAATAACACAAGCTCAGAACCAAAGAGTACAATTAAACAAAACATAAAATTCCATATAGAATAGACAATGCACCTGAAAAGCATCTAAATGTATAAATTCACAAGTATTGGACGAAACATCCAACTTAAATGACACTAAGCTGGCGTAAATATTCTGCTTCAAGTTATTTAAGGTTTCAATTAATGGTTGCACATCAGCCACTGGCATTTTCTTTAGAAGAATACCACGTATCTTTTCTCCTTCGGACAGACCACCTTCTTCTTGCATGACCACCAAATCCATGATCATCTGCATTAACTGGTCGTGACTAAGACCTCTTAGACCACTAGCTAAATTACCACTAAATGGTATTTGTGAATTATTATTAGCTATTGAGTTCTGAGGCTTTTTCTTTTTCTCAGGTGTTGTAAACTGAGATTCGCTCGTGTCACCGAGAGAAAGTCTTTTTCTAGGTGTACTTCTTAATACCATACTTGTTTTTGATGGATTTTTTACCGGAGTACGGTCCCCAGATCTTAAACTGAAGCAAAATTAACAACATTCATATGATATTAGTTGTTTAAAAATAATAAAAAGAACAGGAGATATCTATTTGATAATGCATACTTAAAGAGACTGCTTCTTTTACATGTGTCAAGGTCAGGTGACCAAACTATGGTCTTACGACGACGTCCACGTTTCTGTATCACTAATTCGTCGGGGCTCGGTGCAGGACTCCAAGAATCAGAGCCGTGTCTACTGTTTAAAAAGTTATCCATTGCATTCACTTCAGTTGAAACAGCCTCTCCTAAAACATGTGTATTGAAATTAAACGCAATAAATACTAGCTGTCGTCAATAGTACGTATAGGTCGGAAACGCACCAGGCGATGACGAATTGTTGACAGGAATAACCGCTAAAGCCTGTCGAGAGGATCTTCTACGGGTTCCTTCGGGTCGTCGAAGAAAATCTCTCGTTGTCGGAGTATTCATTTTTCACAGGAAACAAAAAATTCTTCGACTAAACATACGATGAACCTGTCTTTCTCCAATGAAACGTATGTATGCTCCTGTGACGCGTAGAACATCAATCCCCCTTTCCACTTAAACTAAGTATTCAACTCCTTAGCATGTTTCCCCGACAAAGTGAATGAGAATGTTAATTAAAAATGCATCTAAAACACACGTATTGTCATACACAACAGACGCAATAATAACATAGAAAAAAAACCACCACAACAACGCGTCAAACGCTATTCTAATAAGAGAATCAGAAACGGCGGGAAAGAACTTGATTGGCTCATTCCTATGGAGACTAAAAGTTAAAACCTGTTGCATAGAAAAGTATACCTATAAGCACTAGGGATGAATCGATACCAGCAAGTATCAATACTTTTACTCGTACCACCGACTATACCTAGTCGATGATACTACACAGTACATCTCACACACACGGGGTCTCTTATGCATACGTTACCAATTCATGTAATTTTTAGAATATTGATATTAATTCATGAACCGAGACTATGGTTTCACAAGTTTCGAAGTTGTTGATACAAGAATAAATTAAAATATAATTTTTATTACGAAAATGAATTACATACTTATTATTGAACTTATTTGTACAGATATCTTTAAGAAGAAATAAGGTAATAGGAATTGGGAGGAAGGAGGTGATGGGATTAATGAACAACGTTGGTTCAACAGGTTACTACAGCAACTAACTACTGCCTGCGTCTTTTAAACTTAGGCTGTAGTAGTATCTGCAGAAACTGCCTGAGTTGCTGGGATTATTATCTAATATGTTCACGGGAACACGGACAAGCATCAGTCCCAATTCGACAGTTCCACGAGCAACATTAGACCGAGCTCGAGACTCGTACGAACAATAGCGATGAAGGATCACGTTTCAAAACTGTTGTCGATGCTCCGGCGGTTCTATGACCCCACTTTCTCCCCGGATGGGGTCCCTGGTGCCCCCGCCGGGGCTTCCATGACCCAACGTGGTCACCTCACGGGGGGCCATGGCGCCACCCGTCGGGGTTCTGTGGCCCCACGTTCTCTCTACTCGGAGTCGATGGGGTCACCTGTAGGGGGTTCTGTGACCCCACGCTCCCGCCACACGGAGTCACTGGCGCCACATGAGGGGGTTCTGTGACCCCACTTTCTCACCGCACGGGGTCTCTGGCGTCTCCGTCGGGGGCTCTATGACCCCATTCCCGCAGCACACGATGTCTCTTACGTATACGTTGTCAATTCATGTACTTTTTAGAATATTGATATTAGAGACGGCGTGAACTGATACTTGTGAATCACTCGTGATTCGATCACGTTCGTTCTTAATCACGATGATTTTTCACAGTGATTCGAGATTTCTCGTAATCGTTTCTGATCGGTGGAGAAATCTAACAGTTCTTTACACGTAACATAGAACCCCCGGTGGAAGCGCCACAGACCCCGTGGGTGAGATGTGGTGAAACTGCTAGCCAAATTATATCGACAGGTGAGTGAAAATTTTCTAGTGATGGAAAAATACTAATATCTCAGTAATTAAGCACTTCAAATGAACGTCCTTAGTCTCAAATTGTCCCTCAGGACTTAATGCATGGACCCAATAGTGCAGAACCCCTGAATTAATAAAATTACATATGCCTGCATTACCGTAACATCTTACGGGTCATAACCTGTTTGCAAAATATTTCGATCGCATTTACACCGCTAAACGGGCATGATTCTTCTTCGTTTTGCATTAGATACAACGTTTAAAGAACGTAGATTACTATTCTCTAACGGCTGGACACTAGTAATTACAAGAACATTGTTAAAATCACATTTGTTTGCAACGGTTGACATTGTATCGCGTCATGCGTACCCCGGTTAGTTCACTTTGAATAGCTCTTACACCGTTATACGGATAACTTTCGTCTAGACAAAGTACTCGATTTATAGCTGAAAGAACGTAGATTAATCTCCTGTAATTAAAAATAACAATAAACAACCAGAACACTGTTAAAATCGCATTTAATCGTGGAATACCACTACTTTTTTGACCGGTGCCGCCATCCGTGGCGAATAGCTGAAACTGCTAGCCAATTATATAGCTACCAGTTTCAGCGGTTCGCCACGGATGGCGCCACAGGTCAAACAAATAGTGGTACTCCGCGATTAAATGCGATTTTAACAGTGTTCTGGTCACTTATTGTTATTATCAATCACAGTGGATTAATCTACGTACTTTCAGCTACAAATGGAGGGCTTCAGCTAAACGAAAACTGCCCGTATAACGATGTACGAGCTGTCCAAAGTGAACTAACCGGGGTACGCATGACGAGATGCAGTGTCAACCGTTGCAAATAAAGCGTGATTTTAACAATGTTCTTGTAATTACTGGTTCCCAGCCGTCAGAGAGTATTATTCTACGTTCTTTAAACTTCGAATTTAATGCGTGACGAAGAAAAGTGTTGCCTGTTTAGTGGTTATGTGATTGCAGCAGTTTTCGATCGGATTTACACCGCTAAAAGAGCATCAGTTTTCCTCGTCATGGATTACATTCGAAGTTTAAAAAACGCAGCTTACTACTCTCTGGCAGTTGGGAACCAGTAATTACAAGAACATTGTTAAAATCTCAATTGTTTGCAACGGTTGACACTCTATTTCGCGATGCGTACCCCGTTTAGTTCACGTTAAATAGCTCTTCCAACGTTCTATTGACAGGTTACGTCTTGATCAAGCATTCAGTTTGAAGCTGAAAGAACGTAGATTAATCTCCTGTCATTGAAAATAAGAATAATCGACCAGAACACTGTTAAAATCGCATTTAATTGCGGAGTACCACTATTTTTTGAACGGTGGCGCCACCCGTGGCGAATCGCTGAAACTACTAGCCATATAATTGGCAAGCAGTTTCAGCTATTCGCCACGGGTGGCGCCACAGGTCAAAACAATAGTGGTATTCCGTAAATAAATGCGATTTTAACAGTGTTCTGGTCGTTTATTGTTATTTTCAATGGCAGCGGACTAATCTACGTTCTTTCAGCTTCAAACTGAATGCTTGGTCAATACGTGACTCGTCCATAGAACGTTGGAAGAGTTATTCAAAGTGAACTAAACGGGGTACGCATGGCGAGATACAGTGTCAACCTTTGCAAACAAATGTGATTTTAACAATGTTCTTTTGATTACTGGGTTCCAGCCGTTAGAGAATAGTAATCTACGTTCTTTAAACGTTGTATCGAATGCAAAACGAAGAAGAATCATGCCCGTTTAGCGGTGTAAATGCGATCGATATCTTTCGCAATTAGAGTTGCCGCCTCATAAGGGGCTACGGCAATACAGGCATAACTAATTTTACTAATTCAGGGGTTCTGCACTATTGGGTCCATGCATTAAGTCTTGAGGGACAATTTGAGACTAATGACGTTCATTTTAAGTGCTTAATTACTGAGATATTTGTATTTTTCCATCACTAGAAAATTTTCACTCACCTGTCGATATAATTTGGCTAGCAGTTTGAGCGAATTGCCACGGGTGGCGCCACCGGTCGAAAAAATAGTGGTATTCCGCAATTAAATGAGATTTTGACAGTGTTCTGGTCGTTTATTATTATTTTCAATAGCAGCGGATTAATCTACGTTCTTTCAGCTACAATTCGAGTGCTTTATCTAGACGAAAGCTATCCGTATAACGGTGTAACAGCTGTTTAAAGTGAACTAAACGGGGTACGCATGACGACATACAGTGTCAACCGTTGCAAATAAATTGTGATTTTAACAATGTTCTTGTAATTACTGGTTCCCAGCCGTTAGAGAGTATTATTCTACGTTCTTTAAACTTCGAATTTAATGCGTGACGAAGAAAAATGATGCCCGTTCTCACAAGTACTAGCTTCTAACTTCGTTTATGAAAATACAAATTCCAAAATATTCTCACGCCACACGTCTAGGGCAGTTCTGTCCTGAACTTAAGCACAAAACGTAATTAAAATCATTTAAATAAAGTAATTAATATTTCATTATTTCTCATAAATACTAAGACGGTTGTTGTTAAATAATTTATGATAAAATACAAGTTATTCATTTATAAAGCTTCATTACAAGATCCACTAAATAATTTTCTATAACATTCAAAGTACTAGACATTTTTAGAACACTGAATCTCATATCGATTTCTAAAATAATCCTAGTTCGATGTAATATAGA